ACAGTCAAAGAGGACACGCGTGTTTGGTGCATTAGTAACGAAAGGTCCACTCTAGTGATCCCTTTGAGTGCAACGTCCGTGTGGGCCACTCCATCTACGTTGTATGTGTAAAGTTTAATTTTCAGGTGATACATGACTGATCCCACGCCTCATTTGCAAAAGGTATGCGGTTCGACAATACAGGGTTTGGTGTACAACAAATCCTGTGTCAACCTGATATAATAAGCCACCCATTTGAGAAAGTGTTGACGGTAATACAGCAAAATGAAAGCTGAACAGGGAAAGTCACGCAACCGACAATGCGAGACTCACCAGAGTTGGTTTTCTGAAGTTCTTTGTAAATGGCCTCCGCAGCGATCCTGCCGGAACGCAGAGCATTGTGCACACCTTTCAGTTTTGGGACATTCAGAAATCCAGCAGTGCACCCAACTAGCAAACCCCCGGGCATTGTCAGTTTTGGGATAGACTGAAATCCTCCTTCATTTAACGCACGTGCACCGTAAGAGATTCGTTTGCCATCTTGCAACAGAGCAGCGAAGTGAGGATGATGTTTGAGACGCTGAAACTCGCGAAATGGGTTGAAAAACGGATTCTGATAGTCCAACCCCACCTAAAGTATTGAGTAAAGAGGACATGTGAATGTGGATGTAGCACAGAGGAAAGAACACCAAAAGAGATGACGCAAAACTTAACGTATAAGAATGAATGACACATTCGCTTAGCCATGATCCAATTACTACTGGCCATTAAATTATATCGCGAACAATTGAGTGTGGGGCGTGACGTAGAAGCGGTCTAAGCGATTCACGGTGGTCTATGACAAAGAAGCTGCGGCGAGTGGGGCATCATAGGTTTGAAATCGTTGCGGATACGTTCCGACAAAAACAAGAACACAGCGAAAGATAAACAAATGTACCGTTTCAGTGCAACATAGTCAATGTAACCGATTCCAAATGAAACGATGTGAGCTTCTCATAGGGTAACTCATAGGGGCGGAGTCAGATAAACATGCAGTAACATGGGAGACTGGAACAACGGCAATAAAAGTAGCACATACGAAGGGGATAAAGCTGTCGGACAACAGTGGAATGTGCAAGAAGCATGGGAACACAATATACATGTGCGTACACATAAATGAAGATGCGAGCTTCAATGGTGAATGGAATACACAGACACTGTGCAGAAAGTGACGTAAATAGAAAGTGTATGGTCTGACCGACGTGGGAGTAGAAGCAACTTTTTCGTCTCACTTGCTGAAAATCGGAATGAATGAGGGCGGCGGAGGAGTGTTCGAGGGGCATTGGGTATTCCCAGTGAATACCAGAGGGATGCGATGCACAAGCATCGTCTTACGAAACTGAGAGTGAAGTTACTGAACAATTATCGACAGTGATAGGACAGCATGCCCAAGTAATCAGGATAACAATCGAAAGGGTTGACCAAAAAATATCAACATTCTTACGTCGTTCAGGTTAAAAAGAAGACAAATGTGTGAGTTCCGTGAACGCTTGGCTTGATGTAAGAAAGAAGTCAACGCAAGAGGACAAATGGAAAGTCCGGTACACGAAATAGTAGCCAAATCTCCGGGGTTATTTTCAGGTAGATTTAAAAGCTCCGTCCAGGTGGTTGCATGTAATTGTACAGTTCATGTGAACAACTATGATCCGCGCACCGAGGTGCGGTGGATCCAGTTGCAACCACTTACCTCGCCAGAATAACAATAAATAACAACAGAAAAATATGGGGTTGAATGCAAATAGAATGTAAATAAAATGGGATCAGGAGTGTGTGTTAAACTGATCAGGACAAAATGAACACTAACTGATGTAAAGCTGTCTTCGTAATGCTGCGCTGATGCTATTCTGCACCTGCGACGCTACGATCGCCTGATTGCTCAGTCACGCGCCCAACCAACCGACGGGATACAGAAGGCCAAGGCTCGGTAAACAGGGAGTCTATTCTACACAATAGGTCAGTTCTATCTATTGGTGAACAAAACATACTAGTTTTGGAAGCGCTTGGCTAGCAGCCAATGTGAGTTAATTCCGTCCCACGGATTTTCTATATTTGGCAGAATGGTTCGCCTCCGTTGACTCAGGCTTGTATTTGCTGACCAATCAGTTTGCACCCGATTCCCAAATTTGGCAAAACAGTCCAAGGTCATTCCACGCTTGTGCTGGTGACATTCGCATGCAGCAGACAGCCCACGTGCTCAGCGGTAAGCCTGTGCGCGACCTCGTATCTGGACATTGGCACCGCTTACCTCTCTACTATTAACAACTACATGCGAGATACCGAATGCAAGAACGCCACTGACTGCGTGACTGCACCATGTCTGACATGGTCTCAAACCATTGGTGTAGACCATACCAAGGCCCCAGTCCCGGAAGACGGCACGCACCTGCTTGACCAAGTCTCGCGGTCATCTTTTCATGCCTCTATGCCACGTCATCGACTCGTCACCTCGCGGTTTTGCCCAACTTGGTGTAACCACGGCGTACAATGCACGTCGGGGAAGTCGGTCAACGGTCGGTCATACGAAGGACATGACTTAGCCACAGTAAGCAGTAGAGTTTTAGCACTTTGGAAGTGCAAAGCACATGCCAAAGCTTGCGGCGTTACGTGTCAGTCTATCCAGTAGTGGTTGCATAGCCAATGCGTCAGACCGAAGGAGAGCTACGTCGTGCGCATACTCCAGGTTTGTCAGTCGGTCAGTTGGCGGAATGTCCACTTCGGTAGAGTCTGAAAGAACTGAGTCAATGTTAAAGAAGAAGAGATTCAGGACAATTTTGACGAAGCTCAGTTGTCGTGATCAACTCAGGAGACAACTTGACGTAGACCTTTACCAGTCCTCTGAAGTTATGGTAGAGATTTCAGCTGCATATATCTAGCGGGAAACGAAGTAGAAATCTAGAAAACCTGTTAAGCAGATGAAATTCGCTTCCAAAGTAGAATAGATCCCAGGTCATAATTTTGCAAAATGGAAGAGGCGCACAAAGAGAAGCGAGACTAAGTACTGTCCTCAACACGAGCGCTTAACTGAGACATCATCACAGTACGTGGGAGATTCGAAGTACTGAACGAACAACCGGTATCGTTGTGATAGAGATGTTTAAATTTATAGAATTCGGATTCTTGGAAGCAAGCCACTTAGAAAACACGTGGTCGGTGCTTCAGTGCTTCTTTAGAGACTGGAAAACGGATTTCGGACAATTGTGGTATGAGACTGACGGATGTGTGGTGTAATGCAGCCAATAACAAATAGACGATGCGTAAAACAGTCACAGGCAAAGATTTTTCCAACACCAGCAATGCCAGCCTAAACAACAAGTTAAGTGATAAAGTCGAAATCATGCGAACCAAGTTTTAGAAATCAGGGGCACTTATTTCATAAGCATGAGGTACATGACACAAAGAAAAAATCTACAGACCCCCCGAGCGTAGTACTAGATGGATAGAACCAAACAACAACGTAGGCGGTGCTTAAGAGCAAAGAGAACGTATCCGGGTTTATTTGGAGAAATCGAGGAAAGAGAGAGGAGGTTCAGATGACCAATATGCCATACGTAATGCATGCTTATCATAAATCCCCAGTAAAGCATAGAGAGGAGCTATAAGGGTGATTCTCGATCCACTGTTTTTGCTTAACAATTAAGGACAAGGGACTGAGTACGAAGAGTAGGTTTCGTGACGCGTTGAACCTGACTTTCAAAGTTCGGTTCTAGAAATCTAATGAATTTAATATTAGTGAATGCCAGATCTATGCTGAGACGGTGTAGTTTAGAATACCAAAGAGTTAAAGTTCGTTGGTAAGAGCTCCGCCCCAAGAAGAAAGTGAATTTCACAGTTGCATAAGAGACGTAACAAGGGCGGCATTTTTAGCGCAGAGGATTGTTTGAAACCAAACGTAAACGGCAAAATTTCCAGATAGGCTGGTAGCTGAATATTCCAATATTGATCGGGATAACCAAAGACACACTTGCTTCTTCTATAACACCTGCTTGTCCTCTGTTCCTTCTTATCTTTGCACCCATCTGTCTCGTTACACATAGCGCTTCAATGCAGTTCCTCGGGAACGTAATGCATTGTCGTCCACAAGGTGTTGTACAGCGACCACCTCATTGTATAGGGTTCTATGACTCTATATAAGCTGCAGGAAATGAGGACCATCGGACACTTGGAAATTCGAAATTCATGCAAAAATATCACCTTGGAGAATATGCTCTGCATATTGTGGGCTTGCTGCGCATCTATATTGCCCGAGCTGTTGGCAGTGCGAGCTGTGAGCGCTCTTTCTCAAAACTTACAAAGTACTATCTTCGATCAACAATGAACCAGACAAGGCTCAACGGCTTGGCAGTTCCATCCATAGAGAAAGAACTTGTCGACTGATTGAATTTTGATATTGTTACTGATAGTTTTTCCGCAAGTAAAGCAAGAAAAGTGCGTTTGTAAATTTTGTACACCAGTATTGTAATAATACAAATGCCTCCTACACTTATAGCAGCACTCCAAAACTAGATATTTTGTTGCTGTTCCACGAAACGAAGGGTTGTAGGGCTGTTCGTAATTGTGAGGGTTTACGGACCTACTACTGTCAAAGAGGGACGAAAACCTTATGACCGCCTCCGGCGGCAAAAACAGTTATACGCCACTGAGTTGCATGTTGTGGACATCAAAAACAATCAGCCACAACGAAGAGCGTGTGTCAACGAAGCCGACAGTCAACAAAGTTCTGCGTTGCAATTGCGGTTGAAGCAAAAAGAATTTAACAATAGAACATCGAAAATGACATGTGAGACAGGTTAATTAGGAGCAATCTGGGTACAAATGTGCTGGGCGTTCACTGACGTGCCAATAACAATGAGACAGTGGAAATGCGTGTTCATCGGTCAACGCTAACAGTTAACGTCTGGAGAAAACAAGGAGCCACATTACATGCTCATGTGTTACGTACTAATAATGTTATCTCGTCCGTCCCTCGTAGCCAAGTGGTCTTCACCATGGACTAGTAACATTCAGGTTGCAGGTTCTAGCCCCATAGGGGTCAGAAGGAATGGGCACTGCTGAGGATTCAAGAAAGGATGAAAAATTTGTAAATCGCTTTTTCGGGCGTGTGATGGCTGTCTGATGGGGCCTAGATGGGACGAATTGCTACATATAAAATTCAACTCCCCCTCCCACTTCTTTACAGTCAAATATACGTCGACCATTAAATAAATCGTCGGTACCAGCGTCGTCATAAACTTCAGTGATGAAGTGGACAAGAATAAAGCGTAGTAGCTGCACTGAACTTCCATTGATTGCCCACATTGCGATACGACCATGTGAGCACACTTAGAACATCCTACTGGAGCTTGAAGCTAGACTGTCGATAGCAAACGGTCAATTTGTCACCAAAGACAGAGAAGTGGCACGAAAGGAGAAACTAGAATACATACCCACCTAACGACCTGATGTAATAAAAGCTAACCAACGGATCATTTGGACAGAAACAAGTGAGTGTGATTTCTTAGGCACTCGGTGAAGAAGTGTACAAACTGCTTTCAATGTGATGCGACAAATTCAGAAAATTCCGGGATGGGAAAGGAGGAGCATGGTCCGGGTTGA